GTGCAACAATAGAAATCATAATAATAAACATGCATAAGCAAAACTTGAGAAGAGATCATAAGATCACCTAAAACCATGTATAACCAAGAATAAGTAAATCATGTTTCTTCGATTCATATAAGAAAATTTGTCAATACAATTATCCAATAAAAATAATAATTAATATTACCTAATGAAATATAGCATCATGGGTTTTTCATCTAGCATAGTGGGGAAGCTTTGGAGCTTTGTTCCTAAATTTCTATCATTTTATTGAGTGTCAGAATTTGAAAAGGTGTCATATTTAATACCTATAATAAATATTATTTATTGGGTAGGAGAAGGAGATTATTGCAATGAATTTTCTGGGCAAAAAACGTGCAACACTAATGCTTACTATGTTAACCTATTAATAAATGTTAATTATGGGGAAGGAGAATAGATCATTTTTTCTGCAAAAAACGTGCAACATCAATGCATAGTGATACTAATACGGCACTAATGCAATACTACAGCTTTTATGTTTGTGTTTTAATAATGAGAGAATTAAATACTATGCTTTAATTAATATTCAATAAAAGCTTAAAGAAAAAAAAAAGAAGAAATAATTTAAAAAAAGGAGAAAATAAATAATTGCAAATGCTGGTCATTAGAGGGTGCCACATCAGCGGTTTTAAATTCAGATTTATATATATATATATAGATTATAAATAGATTCTTGGATGAGTTCTAAAGTCATGTTAGGTAAATATATACTCCCTATCATTTAATTTCCTAATTAAGATATTATGGAGAAAAAAATTCATATTTATTAATTCTTGGATAAGTTCTAAAGTCATGTTAGGTAAATATATATATATATATATATACTCCCTATCATTAAATTTCCTAATTAAGATATTATGGAGGAAAATCAAGATTGAAAATTATACAATTTAACATGCATGTAAAAGTCAAAGAACAATAACCAATTATAAAGAATGAGTTATTACATTTGTATTATAATACATAATAGTAAAGAGTAGTATAGATGAGATTAAGATGTTGGAATTCCTCCTTATCATTAATCACAGTCTCGAGTTTTAAAAATATAGACAATACTTCTTAAATATATCTGGCGAGAATTCAAATTAGCTTAATCAATGACTTCGCGATTAAAAAAAACATGTGAAGAGATTTTATAGACTTTAGAAAAATTTATAACGCTTTATGGTATGGATAAGACACCCATTTGACCATTTTAAAATATATTAAACAAAAAACAGGATATCAATTGTGCTAACGATTTCTTCACTTGTATAGTGATTCAATCTCTTCATAGTTATGCGCATAGTCTTCCTTCCTTCTTGTCGTCCTTTTATTGAAGACTTTAAATGTACGACTAGATGGAGAGTATCTGGAAAATATACCTTCGTCACTTCTGGAATCAAACTTATCAAGGTTTTTCTTACCATTGTTATGAACGAAACATTTACATCAAAATAGATGAAAGTATTTAGGATATATAGGTTTGATTAGACACTTGTTCAATATGTGACATGTTGTACTTACTGCTTCAGCCCAAAAGTGATGATATGTGAGACTTTGATCCAATAGTAGAGTTCTGATCACAGTATCTTGTAGTGATCATTTTTTTGTTTCTACAACTCCATTTTGCAGAGGAGATCGAGGTGATGAAACTTTTGACTGAATCAATTTTGAGAGCAAAATTCCTCAAAGGCATTGTTTTCAAATTCTCTTCCATAAAACATTACAGTCCAATGAAATACAATACAATACAATACGATACATTATGAAACATATGCAACATGTTCATTCAAGTTCTCTTTTTAAAAAAAAATTGGCCCTTAAATTCACAAGGGCAATCATTTCAATTCTCGAAATACAGGCTTAAAAAAAGTAAATTTTTGGGCCTCTACTATCTGATTACTAATGAATTGACAGTTTAATATTTCAATTAGATGGTGTGCTTCAAAGTCTTGTCTGCCTATTAAAGCTTCCAACTACAGCTGACTGCTTCTCATCACTTAGTCTATTTGCAAAAACATTGTAATAACCTAAATGATCCACATTCTTCAATACTTTCACTGATTTGCCTTGCTTTTCGTCGATAATTATCTGTCCGTCTACAGATTCATACCCCGTGGCAGAGACTTTAATTTTCTTGACATCAAAGGTTGATTTCAGTACAGAATAATCACTAGCCAAAATTACTGCTCCAAGGATTTCTCCAACAAATATATCCTGAAATGTCACAATTGATAAGTTTTTATAGCATCTAACAAAACTGATCAATTTGTACGTTGCTATACGAAGAAAGACTTCAGGACAAATTAAGAAGGGATTATATACCATATGCTTGTATCTAGGATGTGTCTTTTGCAGGTGATGTAACGTTGACAGTAAACGCTTCACAAAAATTACTTCAGGTGTCTTCTTAGTTAGCTGAAGTCTTTTAAGAATCTTAGGAAATGCACTGAATTTCCGTTGTATGCCAAGTGGAATGAGAGTGATATTGAGGTCTGAACTCAAAACTGTCTTTGCTGCCAGAGGGTCAAGAAACATGTTCAGTTCCGCAAATTTATTTGAGGGAACATTGAATACATTTCCCTTATCAGTGTTGGCATGATTGATGTGCCCTCCGACAACTAGTATATCCTG